GGGGCCACCAGGTGCTGCTAGACCACAGCCCTGAGGTTCAGTAACTAACAGGACCCCCCTTGAATTTGGTTAGTAAGAGGTTAATGTAGGGGATGCCCACAAAAGTCAAGAATTGGAAGAAAATAACAACAGATTTTGGCAAAAAAGACAGTTTAGAATCTCAACAAGTTGTACTCCACCATAGCATTGTCAGTTGTAACATGTCTTTTGAATAATAAATATATCTTATTAACCAAGCGCGAGAGCCGTACTGGGAGAATATCGACCCGAGGTCTTGACAGTACGGACCAAGCGCAGCGAGGTCTGTACAAAAAAGACAGAGGGCCGATATTCTTCTAGTACGGTCCTGAGCAAGCTTGGTTAATAAGAGATTTATTATAGGACTGAAGTTCAAAGGGACACACGTGCAGTATCATTCGGGATCCTTTGGGACAGTGCCCAGTCCAATAGTGAGAGAATATTGACCGGCAATAGAGCATTTTGATTGGTTGATTTTAGTTATTGGCCCTCTGACTGCCCGAGTCGTGTAATAATTATGGTTATTCCCTAGATGTACAGTCCTTTGTTCTCATTATAACTGTAAGCAGTTCTGGTTAAAAAAAAAATGATTTATCACAGTGTATGTGTGTGAGTACAAAAAAGAATAAAGACTGTTGCGTTGTGGAATAAAAATTCACTCTTAAAAGGAGGACCATCTTTTCCACAAACTCTTCATATTTGACATTTGGTGCTTGAGAGAGGTTATGAAAAAACCAACAATACTGATAATAATAATAATAATAATAATAATAATAATAATAATAATAATAATAATAAATAATAACAGTAATAATAATAAGAGCTTAATGTAGGGGATGCCCACAGAAGTCAAGCATTGGAAGAAAATAACAACAGATATTGTCTTACTTCATGTGGAGACAGCACTGGCCAATAACGGAATTGAGACAGGTGGATAGAGATGCCTGCAAAATCATAACAGAGAGCAGAGGAAAGCACCCTTGTGGTACAACATCCCTGTTATACCTGCCCCGCGATAAGGGGGGGAGAGGCCAGCGTTCCGTTGAGACCAAGTACAAGTAGACGAAAGTTAAAGCCGCAGTCAAGTTGTATCAGAACAGAGACCCGGCCATGAAGATGGTGAGAGAGTTTGAGGAGCAAGCGGAGAGTAAAGGATACCAGTCAATGACGAAGGAAGCGGGAAAGTATGCAAAAGAGTACAGCCTGCAGTTACAGCTTAATTATCCTAACCCAGCCTGTGTTACAGAGGAAGGTGAAGTTGTATTCGGGGTTAAGTTTAAGACTCGCCTAAGAAGACTCGCCCTCAAGAAGCAAGAATGGAGGGGGTAGTTGAAAAACAAAAATGGTAAGGAAAATTGATAACAGCTAGAAAAGAAGACAGAGATCTTAACACCGAGCAATGCTTCTGGTGGCTCAGTGAATGGCGAACATGCCCAACACACACCATTGCAGGTATGTTTGAAATTTATGAACAGCTTTAAAGCCTATGGCTTTGAAAGCAGTACAGTCTGGCTTCTGGAGAGTTATCTGCGTGATCGCAATTACCGGGTGAGAATTGAGGTCCTTGTCAGTTCAAGTAGGACTGTTAACCAAGGTTGTCCACAGGGTTCCCATCTAGGTCCCTTACTTTGGAATATATTTCAGAACGATTTGTCATACTGTGTAACAACTAACTTGTCTATGTACGCGGACGATCATCAGATATACCACACAGGACGAGATCAGTCCTCTGTTAAGTCAATGCTAAAGGAAAGTGCACAGCAAGCCACTAAATGGTCCGAATCAAATCTTCTAGCAGGGAACTTGAAGAAATATCAAAATTAATTATGAACATCGGACATGGCCAAAGCAATAATAACACCACTCAAGTCATCAGATTAAATAATCATGATATTAGTATAACTGACTCTCTCAAATTGTTGGGCGTCACAATAGATTCCAAGCTGAATTTTTCAGAACACATTAACATAATCTGTAAAGATGCCAGTCAGAAAATCGGTGTCCTTATGAGACTTAGAAATTTGATTCCGACAAATGCTAAACTTGTGCTTTTTAAAACAGCAATATTGCCGCACCTTACATATTGCCACCTTGTGTGGCACTTTTGCTGAGCCAGTGATTCTCGTAAAATCGAGCGGATGCAAGAAAGGAGCCTGTGTGCTGTCTTTAGGAACAGAATGCTAGCTACCCTGAACTTCTAAAAAGAGCAGAACTCCCTAGCTTGCAGAATAGGAGATTACAAGACATTTGTGTTTTAATGTATAAAGCCAAGAACAATCTATGTCCCTCCTATATTAGTGACATTTTTTTAAGCATAGATCTAACCATAACCTAAGGCAGTCTGATTTCTCTGCTGCCAGGTACAATTTCGGTAGCATAATTATAACAGGCACTTCCTCCGCCATTTAGGGCCCAATCTCTGGGGAAAATATTACCAGACTTGAGAGAAGTTACCACCTTAAAATGTTTCAAAAACAAAATACGTACATTAGATTTAGTTATGCTAATGGATAATGGTGTAAGTGCTGTCATCTTTGTAATTCATAGATACATCTCTCATACTGTAAATATTGATATCATTTATACGTATGCTTATTATTTAAATATTTTTACCTTAATTTATATTTATTTATGTCGTGTCCCCTAATTAGCACAGGTTTCTAACCTAAGCTAGGTTTCTTTAGACACCTTAATAAAGTTTCATCATCATCATCATCACCAAATAGATATCTATTGAAAAATAAGAAAAGTGTAGCAGATTACAGCATTCTAAGTGGCAAGAGCACCATATAACCCCATACATTAATTATGCATTCAGACTAGTAGACATTGTTTTTAAAGTTTTGTCGTGAAAGACAAAGAAGTGGAATGCATAATTAATGTATGGGGTTATTATGGTACTCTTTCCTTCTAAGTTATACAACTGTGCAAATGATTTTTAGTCCCGTTTGTTCGTTGATGGAAAAAGTAAAGATCAGAAAAGAGTGTAAAAGCGCAAGTCTTAAGAAACTATCCGCTTAAAGCAGATAAATAGCACCTTAAGTATTTTGACTACAATCAAAACCGGCATCTTTTAAATAATCAATGAATAAATGTAAATATTCGACTGAAGTAAATGAATGGAACCTCATGTTTCATGACACGCCCATGAACTACCGGCAAGCAGAAAAACTGAAAAGGTAACAATTAACGCATGCCAATATTGCAAAAACTTGCTTCATCGTGCACATGATAAACAGGGAATGTGTACAACGTTACTCAGCTGATATTAAGAATAATTCTCACCGAAATCTTGCTGGTCCCAGAGAAACGGATCGACTCCTCTGCTAACAGGATTTTCCACAGCACCATTTACAGAATCCAAAGTTGCTCCATCAGGTTCAGAACTCTCTAATTTGTTTATAATCTTTCTCTTCGCTTTCCCAAACGCCTCCCGCATTCGGCGAAGAGCGTCCTTGTCGTCGGAATGACTCTCCTCGAAATGTCTTTGCAAAACAGAAGCATTTCCCAAATCCTTCATACACATGGGGCAAATAAAACCCTCCTTTATATCATCGTTCTCCATTCTTCACGTGTTTATCAACAATCCAGTTTTTCAGTTGTCCGCCTTTTAATTAGTTCATAAAACCATAACATCTGCCGCCATATTGGTGCAGCGAATTCTCATACCGCGTTGAGTTCTGGGTAAGGGGTGTTGCCACGCCTACCCAAGGAGGTGAAAAGCTGCTCGGTTTGGGGTAATTGAGTGATACGCTGCGAAGGGAAAAATTAAGAGGCGAGGTGTCATCAGGTATTTTTTACCGCAGATCGAGAACTATTTAGAACTAATTAGAACTAATTAGCTTTTGCACTTATTCGCTGCTAAGTGTCTTTAATTTTTCTTTTTTGTTTTGTTTTCAACCATTGCATTGGACTGGATGCCCGCTTGGACAACTTAATCGATTAATTCAGTTACAAGCTATTTTTAATTTCATGAGACGAATCTCTCCAACGACACAGGGAGCTTCTTACTCTACGCATTGCAGTAAATTCCGTAGAGTTTCTTGAATAAAAACGTTTTTAAGATGTCTTTTTTTATCCGTTTCAATGATAAGGGGTAGACGGGACCGACGGTTTACTATCCCCGTCCTTACGTTGAGAACAAAAACGATTAAGTTGCATACACGCGATTATTTGAGAACGTTATCAAGACAAGCTGTCTACTTTTAATTCGGGTTCTCGACGTATTTTTCTTGCGATTTTGGGTTTCGATAAAATGCACCTTTTTTCCTTACCAAATTGAGAATAAAATCAACATATCACTTTGCGATCCGTGCTATGTCGTTTTTCCACATTAAAAATAAACCGGGGAATGTCCTTCTCAGGCAGCGAAATTTCTGCTTGAATGAAGCTGATAATATCAGGGATTAATGTTATGTCGCATAATGGGCGACATGTAAGGATTTCAGTGGGAATAAATGGTCGCATTCATACGTATCTAATACCGCAGTTCAAAATATATGATCTTCATATATTCATTGTATCTCATTCTTAAACTAGTTGGGAAGAAACCCAACCTCGCCTCGCTTTAGCATTTTTCCCTCTGAATCTTGCGAGTATCTAGTGATTACAGTGTTTCTCTAGTGATCTGAAAGGGAAAAGCAATGGTTGGACGTTGCCGGTATAAGTAACTGACCTTTCTACAATCTTAGCGGAAGTCATCATATGAGTCAAGTGAAAAGGTGTTGTCAGTCAAGTGCAGAAAGTACGGTTGTCGTGAGGTGATTGGTCAGTTTTGCTGTAGGATTCAAGTGGCATGAGTTGGTAGTGATTGGTTTTTTTTTTTTTTTTTCAGTTGGTATTGTTAGGTTGTTCAGGTTGGTCAATATGTTTTTCAAATATATCGATCGCTCCGCTACGCCAGTTTTCGATCAACAGGGACAAACCGAACAACAAGATCGAGTGCTCCGACCGCCACAACTCTTTCATCGGGGAGACTGCCAAGAGCCTCAATAAGACTGACTAAAGTCGACAGACGTACTTCAGAAGGTATCCGCAGGATTGAGCAGGATAACTGTTTCATTACCCAACGCATTGATCGCAAAGTACAATTTATTCAGTTTGTCAATTTGCAGAAAAGCTTAAAAATCCGCCATTTTTCTCCACGACACACGAAATGGCGTATATCGCGGGATATCCGTTGGGTACGCACGAAGAATATTGAGAGAGCCACGACCATATTTTGACATTGTATTGTCACAATGTGTTGAATGATAAATTTGAATAGTTTTAAAGGTATAACTAACTGGCATCGCTCACCGAAAAGCACGAATGGCTACAGTATGAAGCTAAACGTTTGCATCAGGAGACTTTACGGTGGGGTATTTAGTAAATATTTTGCCCCCACCCGATCCCCGGAGGAGGAGTTCGAGCCCGCCGTCTTCAAAAGACTGATTCCCTGGGCGTTGTTAGCGCAAGGATGTTGAGGTTTCGTCTTAAGAGTGCATAAATTCAGTTATTTCTAAGTCTTTTTAATTATCAATGCGACAAAAATTGAACGTGATGTAAACTTGCTCTATTTTCTTCTACGATGATTGCAGTAACATGGTCACGAAAGTGGAAATTCAAAGGCTCGAAATTTCTATCCCTGTTGCTCTTCTGATTCAAGCATTTCCAACTGCTTGACATTTTTCTTGTACGCTTTTATCTCTTCAAATAAGTGGCGCATAATGGGGTGATTGCAGGTCTTTGACTGTTCTTCTATGCAACGAATATACTCATCATCTGCATCATCCCCTGCGTCAGGGTCTCCCTGCTCATGCTCAGACACTTGCATGCTTTCAACCAAGCACTTCTTCATGGCATCTCCAGCGCATTTGTGATAGCGATCATTCTCTGAAAAGTGAATAAATATGTTACTACTTCTTATTTTCAAGATTCGTCATGGCGGATTCTCCGGCGTGCTCTCAGATCCTGCTACAACAATACCATCCCTATCTTTAGACTGGATTTAAAGACAATGGACTTGTTTTAATGCGACAACTTCACTATGGTAAAAGCTGCTCCTTGGAAACCAATAAAAACTAAACTTTGGTCATACGTCAAAAAAGTTGTTACCTTAAGTCCCCTCTTAAGCACGGTGCCTCCTAATACGAGGATATGTAAAAAGGTAGGTCTTGGTAAGGGCTATTGAAAACTGAAAAGAAAATTGGGGTCCACGTATTTTTAGTTAAGTCGAAAGCCGGGAAAAATAGACGTTTTTCGAAAAAAAAAGAAAAGGAGAAATATTTCTTTGAGCATTTCCTTAGAATTTCCTTTGACATACACTAAGGCAACAACAAACCACGAGCTTTGAAATACTAACAATTGGTGATTTAAAACTCCTTTTTATGTGGTATTTACCACTGAATCAATTAAAGCCATTTTTGACCCTGACTGTTCTCTTCTTGGTAAGAAAAAAACAGGCTAAATATATATTTCGAAGTATGAAAAAATCACCATATGTTGAGTAAGCTTACCACTTTCGTTTTGTGAAGTAAAACGTGGGGTAACCGGGCGACTTTTAAAGCTATATTGGTTATTTTCTACTTTTAAGGCACGGTTTTTGGGTGCTCGAGAAAATTTTTGCACTACCCCCTCCCTAGTAAGTTAAATATCTGCATCTTTTCTTTAGGTATGCTTGGGTATCCGGTAAGGCGGCACAAACTGGAGCAAGTTTTCTTGACTTCTCGGAAATTAGGGGACACTTTTTTTTCAATAAAGATGGCCTTGAATGCTCAAAAGAATTTCGAAGACGTTTTGAGATGTGCATCAAAACCTCAAATTTTATTCCAGCATAATTTGCACTTTTCTCTGACAAACACGGTAAGATCATCTTTCGTAGTTTGATCAATTACTTGCGCAGTTGTTTCTTGTTACTGTATTATCTGTCTGGTGGGAGTTTTGAAAAGCTTAAAATATACGCAGTTTGAGAGCCAGTCGACATGATTCTTTGCTTCTGATTTTCGCAGTCTGTCTAAGTTTAAGCTTTTCATCAGTTACGAAGGTGGGACGTCGTGTTATGTATATGTAAGTTATCTTACGTTCGATGAAAACATATTTCCTGTTAACATTGTTAACAGCAATAAAATAAAAGAATAAAACCGAAACGGATTCTTGTGTATTAAACCGTTATGTGCAAAACATAACTTGTTTTAAGCGATTCGTTTGAATTTGAAGCCTATATCATTTGCCACCTCACTTCACTTGCTTTTCCTCAGTTGGTTCAGCATGATTTCATTAACACACCACAAGAACGCTTTCGTTGACGGTTTTTCGGTGTAGACAACCTGTGTTGTCAATCTTGTAAAGCGCATGAGCTTACAAAAAATACGGTAGCTCGGCTAACCATCAAAATAATCAATATCTTCTGAGGAAATCGAGCCAGTAAGCACGCAAGGCATGATGGTTGCGTGGTGCATGCACTAACAATAGGAGGCATATTCCTTAATCTCCC